TAACACCGTGACATAATTAAAGTACGATCCCTTGCCCATACAGTTGAACCTGGCTCAGGGCTTAAGGTGATTCCCAGTAGAGACCACTTCAAGTCACATTATTGTAACAACGTCCATGAAATCGGATCTTTTTGCTTGTTGCACTGATTGAAGTTAATGTGGAGTTCTTGTTTCAATGTTTGTGAAAAACGACATTTGTGCTCTTGAACTTTCGAGGTGATATTACTCTCAATCAGGAGCAAGGATTCCACAACGATTCACCTTAAGATGAAAGTAAATCCGGCGAATTTCTGAAATTCTAAAAATGGTTTACTCTGACAAACACTTTAGATTGAAAAAAGATCTCGTTGACTTGTTCGAAACAGTAAAATGAATGGATCCACGAGAGCTTTTTGCAATCAGAAGTGTTGTGTCATAGTAAACCAATTTTGAATTTTTGGAAATTCGCCGGATTCACTTTTCCCTTAAGTGGGGCTGAAGAAGTCGGTTCTAAAGTTACTTCTTTCAAGTAAATCATTTTTAATTTTTTTTTGCGAAAGTGAAATTATTCTTTGCACTTTTAAGTTGTGTAAAATGTGCAACAGAAACTTAAAAAAAAAAACAATTTGTTTGCATTCAATACGTAAGATAAATTTATTATATGCATTATCCAGTCGTTTACCAAGGCCTTCAAGTTTAGAGTAAATGTAGTAATTGTTGGCCTAACACTGGTTTTCGACCCTTCCCTACAAGTTGAACTGTTCCAAACTTAATGCTGATTTATCATTATTGCCAAGTGCATCCAAAATAGTGGAATTTTAATTTAACTGAATGAAACTGCAAATAGGTCGAAAATTAGAGCACATTCGAAAACTAGTACACTTACTCTACTGTAAGTGTACTAAAACTAATTTCTCCAATGCGAATTCAATAATGCGTACTGCGGTGGACGGTATTTCCGGCGAGTAATTGGATTTCACTATCACAATTCTTGTACTGCTTAATGGGATGCATCGCGTGACCGTGTGTCCAGAACCCCGCCGATGAAGATGGATACTCATGGATGGAGTTGCGCAAAAGATGCCGTAGTACAAGTGCTTGGACCCCACACATAAACGGATCCCGGACGGACGTAAAGATGATTTGCTTGAATCGGTTGTTTAAGACCGTCTATATATCCATCTCCTCTCGGCTTGAAATTATATTCAATACAGTGGTGGACCTGCATTTCATCGGTGCGATTCGCTTCCGTGTCGATGATGATCCGTAGAAACTGTGGTGGATTCCGGAAATCGTAACTACAGCACGAAGTGATGCGATGCGAGCACTGCTCAATGCAAAAGAATGTAGTCAACTGTCAATCTATCAGATAACAATCATTTGCACTTACCATTATCAGCCAGGTGTAGAAGATCAATAGTCGAAAATCAGAAACTCGTCCATCAGTTCAAATTTGAGGAATGGGACATGCTTCGAAAATTGTGTCTTTTCACAGCTACCTACAATGAACTTCCTCCTCCTCGTCATCGTTCTTGGTGCAAGCGATCTTACACTTTCAACGAGAAGGCACTTATAGCTTGTTGTTGTTGGAATGCTGCCCAGCCGGTGACGCGGATCTACACAACAAAAGAACAAAGTATCAATCCTTGAAAAAAAAGATTCACTTACAGAATACTTCCCGTCATTCGTCTTCAGCAAAATGTACATTTCCATGCGAAAAACTCTTTTTAGGACCACAACAAAACAACTCTTTTCGTATCGAACCGCGACTCGTAGCTTATGAATTCGTTGCGAATTAAAATCAGCTGTGAATCAAGTTGCAGTTGAATTGCTCAAGTCAGTTTTCGTGCAGTAATGAACGGGTGGTGAGTGACTCTTGCTCAGTTGGAAAAGGTGGTAACTCAGCGAATGACAGATAGCAAAAGAGGAAGGACAAAAACAAAATAGCTCGAGTCATTCACTGAGCACCAACATTCGTGCATGAAGAGGGGAGCGTCTACAGCGACAGCGTCTTATCGTTTGTGAGCAGGTGAACGGACGAGACACGATTCGTTGCGAAAATCAGCAACCTTGCTTCCAGGTTGTCAACTCACCATCCACCGCCAAACATGACCCAAAAGTATCAAAATGACCTAGACGTCCCAAACTGGCCTTGAACTCACAGAAATGGCCTGAAATCGCCTGAATAGTCTTGAAGTTAATGACGGATCAGCCCTGAAAACATAACAAAATAATGCCCAAATAATCCATTGCATGTTTATTGGATTGAAATTGCTAAATAATTTTGAAATTCCAAAATGCTAAGATTCTATCAATAAATTGAAAATTTGCATTGATTTTCGAAAATTTAAAATAATAGGGCATTCAAACCGTTTTGAATAGCTAAAAATTAAAACCAATGGATTTTTATTCAAAATTTAAAATGCTATACTAATATCAACATGAAGCTTTTAGTGTGATGATTTATTAACTAGAGAAAGTTCTGAAGAGGATAGGTTGATAGTTCCGCTAGAGTACGGCAGTATGAAAATTGAATAGACGTTGAAATTGGCCATCAATACGACAGGACTTTTATTGTTTTTGGATTTTGATTATAATCCCAACATAATTGGAAGATTGCCGCAAAAGCTCAACGCAGATGTCGCCACTGCATGAGGATGATAATGTTGACAGACTGCATATAAAATTCGTGAAAATTAGCATTAAATCATAATTTTCATCAAGCCCGCGTCAAATCCTTCCAATATAACATTCGAATTGAAGAAGAAAACGTTTTTACGATTAGACTGATGTGCATCTTTGACTTTTCCTGGTGAACTTTCATAAGATATATTCATTTCATTTCACGGCTCCATCAATGCTGCATCGTAAATATGATGGTAAACAGAAGTAAATTGCTCAATTACTCAAAATAAAGATGATTTGTCATCTTGTTATCACTTTGAAGACCATCTAGCACCATTTTATAGTATGGTGCGTGTTGCGTAAATCAAGTTCCGGTGCGTTTTCCGTCGAAAATTGTGAGTATCAATATGTTTGCTTGAAAAAGGCCAAAATGAACATTTATTGAATATTGGCGTCCTATACAACCAATTCTCCATTACCACCAGCATGATACAACCATTCCTAAGTAAATTAAATTAATTTCCACTTTCATCTTAGTGGAAATCGCACATATTCACCATTTTCCGAAAAATGCAGCTGCGCAGGAGGTAACCTCTCGCTGGGGGTGCAAACTTGTTATGCATTATTTTCCATGAAAACCTCTCCGATCCATACCGAAATAATAACAATTAGTTTTCAAACCCGTTTTCTTACACGATTCAAGCAAAAGTTTCCACGGGAAATTATTAGTTTTTCTTTATGGACCGATTTGCCCCAAAAATCGTCTGTTTTACTTGGAAAATTTGGAAACTATCCTCCTTCTAGTAGTCTCACTTCGAAATGTTGGAGGCAAAAGCTTGGAAAAGTTTCACTGCAAGACGCCAAATAAAAAAAATCGATAAATTTTGCACGAAATTATAAAAAGACCGATTTGTCTGAATGCCTGCGATAGGTGGGTCGCGACCCATAGATTGAGAAACGCTGACATAGACACAAAATGCTAAACAAAACAAACCCCAACCTCCTAACCGTCCAATAAACACGATGTCACCGCCAGAGTTGGAAAGGAAACTTTTCCCATCCGAATTTCCGTCGTTCCATCTCTTCATTAACTCAAGAGTCATAGCACTCGAGCCGGAGGAGATCTCTCGAGAGTTCTCCCATGGGTAATGGGATATGACGGTCGCTCCTGCTGCTACCGCACTTGAGATATTGGAGCGCAACAATCGGATCGTTACTAGATACGATTACCGCCGCTGCCGCTTCTGTACTGCAGAGGATGCTTTCAATTAGTTTAGCATGCTATTGAAATTGATATCAGCAAACTGCTCTCCACTTCTGTGCTAGTAGCCTACTCGGTTCGTCTTCTTCATCATCATCTAGGTTTTACGCATCTGTAGCAAACGTTTTGCCGGATCTCAACCTAGTGCTCTACACAGATAAACATATTTTGTAATTTTCAGTTACCAACTGGAACAGGTTTTCAAATACATAATTCGATTTCAATTGAAATGACAATTTACAAAGCTTTCACTGTGTACATGTACTTCCATAGTTATTAATTGTGACCTTGCTATGCCAACCAATGCATTAATTTGTATAATTTTACAGCAGGGAAATCAATGAAAATGTCCCACCCGAAAGAATCGAACCCGCCCCGCCTCCGGCTTGGTAATACCGTACCTTTACTGACTAGGCTGTCTGCGGTCCTAGCTACCTACTGACGGAGAACTTATTTACATATCTAAGCAAACCGGCTCAAGTGGATGTAGGTAATTTAAAGCTTGTGAAAGGAACGAGTAGGTATCGCTTCTTGATTTCTGTCAAAGCCGTGCGTGTAGCCTCTCGATCTGGATTGGTGTCGGGACAGATTGAGATTGAAGAGCGCAAATATTGGTTTGGCTGTCCGTACCTTCGCTGCGATGGTGCCTAAAGGGAAACAGGCGAAACCGGATCATCAAATCAAACTCGTTGCGAAGACGGGTGGATTTTTCCCTCTTTGGACTTTTCAGCGGAAATATTGAATCAATCCTTCCATGGGGACTCAGGGGATATTGGCTTGGATGTATAGGACCCAGTAGCCCAGGATGAGTGGTTTCTATATGTCGCAGTCGGTTAAAGTGAAATCCAGAATCAATATTAGGTTCCACGGGAGCAGTGTTGGCAGTGTTTTCGGAATAACATTAGATTACTGGAGGTACTCAATAATCTCTTGCGCTCACCAAACTTAACGAGATAATTGTGAGCGATGTAATCTGTTGCTACTCAATCCACTGGGTCGTCTATTATAATGTGACTTATCTTATTTAACTCTCACTCTGCGTCTGATTTTTTTCCGAGATTTACGATCCATCTTGGTGACATTTTTCACCAGCTGATAACCACTGATAGTGCGACATTCGCGGTCTCGTTGCTTACAATGCCGTAGATCAGTTTCTTTCAGTACATGCTGGTGTACGATGTACGATGTGCACACTATCAGCTTCCGCAATTGTTTTCCTATTGAGTTAGAAGCCGGTCAGTGAAAGGCTCAGTTGCTCAGTGAGAAAGTGCAGTTCCAGTAGACAAATGGCCTTTTCCAATGTTCTGCTACCGGTGTTGATTTGTGCCGTCGTTGGGGCTCTCGATTTCGATGATCAACTTCACGTGCAGTTTGAGCAACAGGACTGTACCAGCACATTTGGAGAACCGGCTGAGCTGATCTTGTGGATAGAGTTTGTACAATGATTGGTATGTTACTTTATAACGTTATCAAATTGAAAATTTTCCTTACAGTGGAGTGACCAGCAGAAATGCAACGGTGAAATTCAACACTGTGGACGGAGTGAGTCATGTGAACGTCACTCCGGCAGATATATGGATCAACGGGGATGTGATTTACACTCGCAGTCCAATCATACTGACAGCCACGGCGCTTCGCCAAGGAAGATTCATCGTCAAGGCCAACGTCGAACCGGAAGGAATCGTTGATGATCGGCGACTGTTTGTACGGTTGAAGGTTGCCCTGAATCAACCGTTGATCTACATATCCCTGCTGGTGGGTTGGACTTACACCGCCTGCTGGTCTTCCGGCTACTACCCACAAATATTTCTCAACCATCGCCGAAAGAATGTCGTTGGACTGAGTTTCGATTTCTTGCACATCAACATCGTTGGACACATTTCCTATGCCATTTTCAACTCCTTCCTGTACTGGAACAAGTACATAGAGGTAACGAACGACTTTTTGAATAAATGATACCTTCACCACCTACAAACATCTATTCCAGCAAGAGTACTTCAACCGACATCCGCATGGATTGAACCCGGTAATTGGAAACGACGTGGGCTTTGCCGTCCACGCTTCATTCGCTACCGGGTACACCATTCTGCAGTGCTATTGTTTTGAGAATGGCGGAAATACAGTTTCCCGTACGGCTAAGGTCATCATAGGGACCTACCTGACGATCATTGTAATATCGGCTAGTCAGGCTGTGTTCGGAGCCATCCACTGGTTGGACTTTCTGTACATACTGAGCTACATCAAGCTGTCCACGACGTTGGTAAAGTACTTCCCTCAGGCGTACCTAAACTACCAAAGGCAAAGTACGGAAGGTTTTGCCATTATGAACCGACTGCTGGACATTGCCGGTGGACTGTTTGGAATTCTGCAGATGGTAATAAATGCTTGGAATTTTGGTAAGTTCGGGAAATTGGCAAAATTGGACCGATCTAACGCTACAATTACAGATGACTGGCAGTCAATTTTGGGCGATCCCGTAAAACTTGGACTAGGTGTATTTTCTATATTATTCGACATAGTTTTCATAGTTCAGCATTACGTTTTATACAGGTTCGGAATTCTGCGAATTTACTCATGCGATGCTTGAGTAATTTGTAACATTTTCATCTATGTTTTAGGAAACCATCACAAACGGAGGCAGTTTACAAAACGGGAAAGCAAATGGACCAGCACACGACTCAATTTTAATGGGTGTTCTGTTCAGATACGACTCACGATTCACAATGGGAGCCAGAAAAAATCCATCCTTGAAAGACGTGTAAAGTTCAGTTTCACTTATCTTAAGATTTTTTTATGTGAAAAAGACGTAAATATAATTTAAAATCTGCTATGTTTGTTAAACAATGTTGATTGATTTGATTGACATTTTGCCATACTCATGGAACCATACGCAATAATCCAAAGCCTTAAATCAGTTATAATCCAGCACCGTTATTGCTATTAAGCGTTTAATCAGCACAGCTAATGCTTAGAAACCTTTGATCAAGCAATGGACACATTGTCGGAAGCTTGATAGGAAGACCTGTTGACTGTTTTATCATTTCCCATCGAACGCGAGGAGTAGCGCTTCCTCCCAGTTTAGATGTATTGCGTTTGCTTTGCTTATCTTCGCTGTCACGTACGCGCGAAATGAACAAGAGTTCATTAAACATCAGTGAATACGCGCTTTTTTGATATTGAGAAGTGCTTGATAATCCAACCCAAAATTTTCGAAATCAGAAGCGATCCTCGAAAGCAAAATAATCAAATGCATTTTGGGCAATATGATTATTTTGAATATTGCCGACCCCAGAGTTTAAGACCTCGATATTATTATGAATTCAGCATGAGGCAAAAATTTTCCATCACTCTGTGTGTAAAAACCACTACAACACGTTTTACATATTGCACTGTGTAAAATGAGAATTAGGGCGTAACAGCTTTTGTAAACAATGACTTCAATCGATGATTTCTAGAAATTCAAGGCACGCCCACGCATACCAACATAACCATCGGATAAGGATAGGGATTTTTTTTTTGCCAGCAACCAATTTTTAGTTATGTTGAAGAATTTCAGTGGCATATGCACATGCATATCCGGAATACGCATTTAATCCAATCGATCCTATTTACGCCGTATTTTACGACTGCTTGTTTCCCAAATGCAAATCCCGATACAATCATTTCAAGTCTTTGAAGCGTCATATAGTACAACAGCATCCTGTTGACCTTTTTTGTTTCCACGGAAACTTCAGATCACGGTTTTGAAGATGTTCCATTGCTTGATTCAGAAGCTGAACTTTTAGAGGAACTTTGTGTTAAAAAATCAATTGTCGGAAATATGAATAATTCCCCGAGTACTTCCCAACGCATCCCAATGATTCCAGAAGCCGACGGCTGTTCGTCGAACCGGATAATGGGATGTGTATCGCTTGGTATTTGTAGTCTTTCAAAGGACGTTTCCCTTCCTCATGAGATGATTGAATTTTGCGAAACATTGGTTCACATGGTAGGTGAATATTTCCAAGGCAATATCAATACATCAAAATCTAACCCCCTTAAGTACTCATCCCTAGGTATAAAAGTCAAGATCACAGGTATAAAAATGAAACTACAATGTGTTGAATCGGAACCTACCTAATTAATAAAATCCAAAGATTTAAGTAAACTAAAGGATAAAAATCTATTCAACTCTCTAATAAGGAAAATCCCAAAGGCTTGGTAGCCATAATAATGAAGTAATGAAATTGGGTTGTTAGCGGAATGCTTAAATAAAACAGCAAAAAAAGGTTATCTTCCATTAATTAATTTTTGGGTTTTATTAGTTAGGTAGGTTCCGATTCAACACATTGTAGTTTCATTTTTATACCTGTGATCTTGACTTTTATACCTAGGGATGAGTAGTTAAGGGGGTTAGATATTGATAAGTTCTTTAGTGGGAATGACACTGATGAAGACTGCGCATTGTAGTCGAAATACGTATCTGTCATGGATACCAAAATTAATTAAGTGGAATTAAATGGAAGATAACCTTTTTTTGCTGTTTTATTTAAGCATTCCGCTAACAACCCAATTTCATTACTTCAAACACAATTCCTGAAAAAAAAAACTATTTTTCACAATAAAATCTTTTTGTTTTTTCTTATTCTTTAAAGCTTGGAATGCTTTTTCCAAGTAATCCGTTGTTTTTTTACTGAGATTTTCGGCAAAAATTGACAACCGTGAATTTTATGATTATCGAGATCCTCGGTAATTTTGCTGTTTGCCGAGCACTCAGTGGTGCCCATCTCGGCAATTGTTTTGCTGCTCAGATTTACCACCTGCCCGTGTTTTAGTCAGAGAAGTGGAGCGACGGGCAAGCGTCTAGAATAAGATACTTTTCAAAGTAGCTTAAAAAAGCTTCTTAATAATATTTTAAAAGATGCTCTGCAGAAGATTCAGTTATGTTTATGTTTAATGGAATTTTGCCAGGATGATGGATCATTATCATCATCCGTGAGCATATCAAACATGTAAAAAAGTAAGAGGTTGTATCCAAGATACGACCGTAGATTTTACGTAGGATTACGAAAGTTAGTTTTGATGTCACAGCAAGAGTATAGTAAATATTAAATTGATTTCTTAACTCGTTATCAGTGAAAAAGTTCGATAGGTTGAAATTCGGAAACAATTTGTGAATTCTGTTTGTGAGCTGCTTGTCGATGTCCATGTAGTACAAGCCAATCCAGGAAGACATGTCTTGGATACAAGCTCTTACTCTTTACTTAACTCTTTTATCAGTCATTTGTGGTCCTGAAAAGGACCGATGGGTTGAAAGCTTGGAAGCCAGTTTAGGGAAAAAACCTCGATCACAAAATCTGGGCCTACTTTTTTGACTTTAAATGATCTTTATTTCTTGTATTTGTGTGGTTTACATGTATTACTTATCAAGTGACACAGATGCGTCTTTTCAACTTTAGTTCTTTTGAAATTTCAATTATTATTAATTAGAGTTCCTAGTCCTATCAGGCCTGTTTCCAGAATGACCATCTGGGCCTACCGGACGGTACCTACGTTTATGCTTTTTGATGCAAATTTTAAGCCCCTTCTATTAAAATAAATCGGCAAGGTTTGCTTGTTTGTTTTTTTTTTTTTACATAATTCTCTCAATAGGAGGGGCTTAAAATTTGCATCAAAAGGTATAAACATAGGTACGGTCTGGCATGTTCAGTGCTTGATATCAATATTCGGCGACTGTGTTAAGGAAACCACTTTTCGCATCACGGAAACGCCTCGTTTTCTGATGTAAAATTATGCATTTTCGTGTACAAAACTCACGGAACTTTTGGTTTATTCAATAGGTAATAAAAAAGCAAAAATTCGTTGGAGGAATTTCTTGCTAAAAAATTTCCAATCGCGAGATATTCGCGATCAATCATATGTATTTTTTTGCTTTTTCTATCGTCCTGGAGAAAACTTTACGAAGTATAATGAGAGAGAGAAGGATTAGTAATTTCCATTTAATTCCACTACCTTAAATATTTGCTTATCCTTGACAGATACGCGTATTTCGTCTACAGTGTGCAGACTTCGAGTATTACTACAAGACACTGAAGAAGTCTGCACATTGTTGACGAAATACGCGTATCTGTCAAGGATAAGCAAATAAGGTAGTGGAATTAAATGGAAATTACTAATCCTTCTCTCTCTCATTAAACAGGTATTCCTCTAAGACGCCCACATTCATCAGGGCCTTACGAAGTGTTTCTGGTTATTTTAAATGTTCATGTAGTATTCGATCATTGCGAGAATTTGTATGTACCACTTCAATACTTGATGCATATGACCACAAACGTTTGGTTGATGGGTACATTATCAAAGAGCTTTGCAGGTGATGTGACTGGCAGCAGGGCGAGCGAACGTTCAATGAAAATATATGGTGGTCCTGAAAAGAACCGTTTTGTCGTGATGGTTGAGTAGTGTTGAGCTGTGTACTGGAGAACACCAGCTCTCACCACACGCGGTGATTGAATGAACAGCATTCGGTGTGACCGGATAGAATTCAACTTTGAAATCTATGTTAGTGAAAGTGCTTTTCGCAGGTAATCGGTGGCCATTTTAATTATCATAGCAACAGTTGCACATTCGATAAATTCTTAATTTCAACAGATTCGTAGAAAAATTTCCTATCGATTTGCGTATTCTCGCGTCGCTTTTCAAATACACCAATGTAACATATCCGCCATTGTCAGAAAATCGTGGTTGAAGTTCGACCGCTTATTATTTTAACTGTTTAAAAACAATACATTTAGCAATACTATTTTTAATGCAGCCAGTAAATAATAACGTTGAAAATTCTGTAGAAACGGTAAAATTACAATTTTACTTTGAATTTTTTTTTTGTTTCCTTTATTTAACGTCACTCTCTGTTCCGCAATCTAGTGCCAATCACCGACGGACATCGATTGCCATCCATTGACGGCAATCGAATGTGCGAAGGCAGCTTCCACACCTGCGTAAGATATCGCACCCATTCAACACACATGGGCCGGGACCAACGGCTTTACTTCCCCTCCGAAGGAAGACGTAACCAGAGATTTGTATGCCTCAGAAAAATCCCACCGACCTCGGCTGGGATTGAACTCAGACCCATCGGGGTGTTAGAAAGCAGTCACACTTACCACTACACCACCGGCGCCGGCTCATTTTTACTTTGAATTGCATGCTACAATATAGAAATAACCTGATGACCTTGAAAAATGTCCAAAACATACTCTTTAACAAATGTATGGTGGTCCTGAAAAGGACCGTTTAGTCGTGATGGTTGAGTAATGCTGAACTATTAGGAACAAGGATGAGGCTGAATGTTGTTTGGAACGAGGGTGACTCGCTTGGCATAGATGGCCCACAGCGACCCACGAAGATGGATCCTGATCGGTAGTGGTGAAGCTTCTTTCTCCTTCTTCGGTAAATGGCCACTCATGTGAGCTGCAGCTCGCTGCTTTCGTGCAGCTTTTCGTTGTGTACAAAGTTCAACGCCACGCTCCGAAAGCACTGCAACTGACGACCGATCGGACACCACCACACACGGTGATTGAATGAGCACCGTTCAGGGAGACAGGATCGAATTCGATTTTTAATTCTGTATTAGGGAATGCACTGTTTGCAGGTAATCGGTGATAATATTGATCCCTTTTGAAACAGTTGGACATTTGTGTGATTTTAAGTAGTGACCTATTGAAAATTAATAAAGTGTTCAATTAAGCTGATTTGTAGCAAAATTTCTAATCGATTGGCTTGTTTAGAATTAAAATCCATTCGCTATT